AACCCACACAGAAATTGTGAGGCTTGCGTAGACCTAGCTACGTTTTCGGATCAACTGATAACAGGGAAATGGTGCACAGTGCACCACAAAATCTCCAACCAACTCTTCTCGTGTTTCTCATAGTATACTGGTTGTTTCTCATTGCAAGAGGGCAATATCTGCATTGTTATTGTTGAAAGAAATTGGTCTAATGTCTTTTTCTAAGTGAAATAGTGCGAAGTGAACAAATCAAAGTACAAAGTTTTATGGACATGAGTTTGTGATATAATGGGATATGCGTACACTTGTGTTCCCCCTCACTGGAATATAATTGGTTGGCGTCCGTCATAAATACCGACGGACGTGTAGGAGGGAAGTCTAGAGAGCCTTTGTCTGAGAGCTAAGTCTATAACGACGCCCATTGGAATACGTCATTGATCTAAACTTCTTACCTGCGACTACGACGCGTGCCAGTCGATTACTGCTACCGTATTCTACTTGGTTATAGTAGCCAAAAAACCACTTAGCTACCTCGATTAAATATATCCCTTTCCGGGACATATCAGTTTGTGACATTGGGTTTCACGCTTTTGCGATCATCAGACAAATCCAGGGTCACAAACTCATATCCATACAACTTATTCTGTTAGTTCTGTCACTGATATTGAGCGCTTTCCACTAAGTATTATATATATATATATATATATATATATATATATATATATATATATATATATATATATATATATATATATATGTATATATTTATATAATATATTAAATGCGAAATAGGATGGCCGTGTTTGAATTCTAGTCGTGTTCATTACATTGACTAACGGGCAAATGCACTTTGGGAAGAGTATGAATCGATTTCTTCTTTTCCTCTTCCCAGCTATGAGTGAATAGTATGGCAGTCTGGGTGAGTAACCAGCCTAGGAAAAGGAAAACTGAATTCAAAACCTGTGGAGTGTCATTTGGAGACTCCAGGGCACGCTATGTGCAACCGTTCCCTTTTCAATTGTTGGTTCTGCCTAAACCTTCTCTGTTCTAATCAAATTATATCTCCGTTTAAACGGTTTTGTTCTAAGACATGAGTCCTGTCCACCTACTTTACGCTGTTTAAAATAACACACCCACACACAACAACAACAACAAAAACAACAAAACAGATAAAAACGCAGTGAGTCTACTCAAAGAGGATATCTACAAAATAACGACTGGATTGATTTTATTGATTACTTTTTTTACGGCTAATCTATTGTGGGTTATTTTAAAGCCATAAAATATTTTTAGATCGCTAGAATTTGGGGAAAACAATAATGATTCATTGATGTATGTTCTACTATTTAACCTATAGCTCAGTTAAAAATGTTGGTTCGTTATTTTCAAAACTAGTATTTTAGACTAGAATCGAATTCCTTCTCCGAATTCTAATTTCTCATACAAAAATTACATAGCACATACAATTTTAGACCATATATATATATATATATATATATATATATATATATATATATATATATATATATATATATATATATATATATATGTTAGGAATCCTTCAAATATCAAGGATATATGAAAGCTTATAGATATGTATATTATTGAATCAATTTCAAGACCTCCGATTTAAAGTTTTGATGTTAAAATAAACATTAGCTCTGTGTCTGAACAAATTCATGGACAGTAAAAAGTTCTTAGCTTTGACCACTTTCTATAATTATGACCAATTCCCAAAATATTCATTAATGGAATATAATATATATATATATATATATATATATATATATATATATATATATATATATATATATATAATGGGTGTAACAGAAAAAATTGTCCATCCCACAAAAGGTTTAATATCAAACAAAAAAAAACACTAATTGAGTTTCTTTATCCCAGGTTTTCAGATATGATATTTAGCCATCTTGACATCATTTGTCGTAAGAATCACTGAAAAATCCTTTGAGTCATTTAGCTGGAAACAGAACAGGTTTCAATCGTTTTGTGCGAGTCCCACTGTCTTCCCAATGTTGAGAGGAAAAATCCAGGTCTTCAGTAATGGTATCAACATTCATACTCTGGCTACCATCTTCAAATTCATTGAAGAACCATGAACATAACGCTTAACAAGGGGGTCATATCAGGAAGAGGGGATCATCATTTCAACTTAGAGCTAAAGAAAGAGCAATTAGAAAAGATCCAACTCAATCCATAAGACGATTGGCATTTGAAAGAGGAGTTTCAGCTATGACAGTCCAAAAAGCAGTGAAAGAAGACTTGAAAATGAAATCGTACTTGAAAATTCTGAGGCAGAACAGAAAGGTAGAAGGTTAGAGAGAGCGAAGATCATCTTGAATAACTTGGAAAATATATTTATTTATTTCAATACTTCATGAGCTTCCGATTCTTAGCTATGATTAATTAAGGATGAACATGTCATTTTCATTTATGAACGATTTCATCACGATACTTCTGTTAAGCTTGGAAAGTAATTATACGTTCGTATTACTCAAGGTAGAGTCCCATAATGTTATAATAACCTCAGAGAATTCCAGTAAGATATCTTTAATCATTTCTATGATACAACGGTTCAGAGCTTAATTTAATGTCTTTGATGTTATACCAATTTTGCTGTTACATCCGGTATTTATATATATATATATATATATATATATATATATATATTTTATAATTTTTAATAAAATCCGGTTATCAAGGACTGACCACTACTAAAAGTTTCATGTGTTTTTACACCATTGTCAAATTGTTGGCAACTGTCTTTGTTGTGAAAATGGTAATTTTATTTTGTTCAAAGGGCAGTTCAAAGGGTAGCTTATCTATACATGATTTGCAGACAGCAACGAAACACGCCGAGGGAGAAAATGCTAATAATGTCGAAGAATCATCTTAACATCAGAAACAAAATCTAAAGCTTGTAAAGAAAGTGCTTCATAGAATGAAAAAACAATAGGTCCTCAGCGAAGGAGGATAATAATAAAATCATTAGTTATTTATAAGAAAAATCGAGAAGTATAAACAGTCAATTGCTGATATATCCTGACGTGTGGACGGAATGATTAAAAGAGGGTCTGTCTACGAAACTCTAGAGTCGGGATTCTGAAGGTAACACCAATCAGCTGAGTGAATTTTTATTTGTATTAATTTCTCTCTCTCTCTCTCTCTATATATATATATATATATATATATATATATATATGTGTGTGTGTGTGTGTGTGTGTGTGTGTGTGTGTGTGTGTGTGTGCATGTGTGTGTGTCTGTATGTATTAATAATAAATATACATTTTTACTTCACATCAATGTTCAATATTATTCAATATCATATATATATGTGTGTGTGTGTGTGTGTGTGTGTGAAGGGTGTCCATAAACTTCATGTGAACTTTAAAAAATTTATAACTTTATTTGTATTTGCGATAGAAATAATCTGTCAAAAATGTTATAAAGTTTAATGTACCTAGTTTTAAGTTTAGCTAAAATAACTAATGTGATTTTCAGGCATTACTGTAAATCAGTTGGCAAATGTTTTCCGTGAATTGCAAAATCGTTTTACCCTTTGTATTGCTAATGATAGAGGAGATGTGGAAACTTAAATAAAATTTTAATAAAATCTTAAAAAATATAGATTTAATTCTTTCTAATCCTTTTTACAAATTACTTCTATCGTGTGCAGATATAATTTTTTTAAAGTGCACAAGAACTTAATAGATACCCTGTATATAAAAAATATATATATTATAGGTATGCTTTATATATTCGGTAAAAAGTGCTCAATATCAAGATAGAGCGTATGTAAAGATAAAAAGTGGCCTTAGGATATATATATATATATATATATATATATATATATATATATATATATATATATATAGTTTTAAGGTGTGATATATTTATGGGATAAAGTGCTCAATATCAGAGATAGAGTGTATGTAAATATAAATATAAAAATTGAACACTGAAGTCAACTTTCCAGAAGCGACAGCTTGTCTGAGTGTTGACTTCTATGTTCACTTTTATATATATATATAAATATATATATATATATATATATGCCTGCACATTGCATTTTATATATGTAGATTATTATTATTATTATTATGCTTATTATTTACACACTGTTTCTACTAGTTGATTACAGTTTGTTTATATAGAGATTAAGTCTTCCAAAGTCTTCGACATCATCATTATTATTATTATTGTTGTTGTTGTTGTTTTAACATTTCATACATATCATTAATTAATATATTTGTTGATGTTGTCGTTCGTCGTCTTTTCATCACCATCATCATCATCGTTATCTTCTTCTGACTCCTCTTCTTCTTATTATTATTGCTTCAAAGATGTGTCTTATTTATCAATGGCATTACTGACGTTGTTATTGCTCATAATACGATTACTACTGCTACGATGACGACGACGACGACAATTGTTTAGCGTTAGGGAGACCGTCTGTTGAGAGAGAGTTCTTCTGTCTACGGCTAAAAGAAAGGCTTGGAAGTAACAGTAGAACCTGCATCACGATCGTTTGCTCGTCGACGGCAGCAGCTGAGTTACGGGGGAGAAAAAAAAAACAAAACAAAAAAACAAAGATTATAGATTCGATCCGAGGGAGTCGTATAAAGGAAGATGAAATGATTCAAAGGGGGTAAAAAAATATTATAGTTTATAATCCTTCATGCTTACCGCCCGGCCCATAAGAAGAGGCGGAATTGGAAAATATCCAGATAGTTTGTTTTAACCTACCAACGGATTCCAACAGGTAAGCTGTGTTTCCATTTCAAAATAACTGAATATATATATATATATATATATATATATATATATATATATATATATATATATATATATATATATATATATATTTATTGTTAATGCTCTTTCCTTTCTCTATATTTCTGTATTGATATAGCATCTTGTGGAGGGCCTGGGTTTTGTTGTTCTTTATTTTTACGCGATGCCGACATCTACGTTACAACGCTGAGCGCTATAGCAGCGATATTATGGCTGTCAACAAGCTTACCTCGCGCCTCTTCCTCTTCCTCCTCCTTTGATTCTTCCATCTTCTTTTCCTCCTCTCTTTCTCTCTCGTCTGCTCTTTTTCTCACTCTCTTGCAGTGGTTTTCTTAGTCTTTTTATTTCTATCTTTCTCTTTTTCCTCCCGCCCACTCTTTGTCTTCTTTCTTACACTCATCATTGTCTGCCCATTCACCCTTACAGTTTTTAAACGATTCTCCATCTCCTCCTCTTCTTATAAATTCTTATTATTTCTTTTAAATCCTTTTTTTTTTCATCTTTTTCCCTTTGAAGCTTTATTTTGTCTATGAAACTCCGCCTTTCCCTTATATTTAATTCGCTTCTTCTTCTTCTTCTTCTTCTTCTTCTTCTTCTTCTTTTCGTTTTTATTCATCATGTCTCTATCTCCTCCCCATCACACTTCTCCTCTACTTTCTCTTTCCTCAGATCATCATCATCATCATCATCATCATCGTCCTCGTCGTCGTCGTCATCATCACCATTAACAACATAATTATTTTTTATTCTTCGTTTTTCTCTTTTTCTTCTTCTTCATTTAACTTCTTTTTTCATCATTGCTTCATTATTTGCTTCTTCTCAACATCCCCACCTTCCTTCTTTTCTTTTACTTCTTCTTTTTACTAATCCTACTCCTACTCCTACTCTTACTACTACTACTAAATTTTAACCGCTTTTTTTATCACTATCCTTCTCTCTATCGATCAAATTCACCTTCTCTCTCTTCTGCAGTCTTCTTTCTCTTTTTAACCACTCCTTCTCTCTGTTTATCTCATGCTTTCTTTCTGCTGTTTTGTCGTCTGCCAATTTTATCACAATCACCTTCTCGCTTTTTTCTTTTCCTTTATCTTTTTCTTCCGTCTCTTTCCAGTCAAATTGTTTCATTCTCTTTTTCTCTTTCAATCTTTCAGTCTTTCTTTCTCCTCCTCCACTTCCTCCTCCAGCCATTCTTACCCCCCCCAACCTTTTCCCGCTTTTCACTCTCTTTCCTCCTCTTTGTTTACTTCAGCGGTTCTTTTCCGTTAGATAGCCACTTACCTATCTTCTCGCAATAGCGACTCTCTGTGTTTACATTTAAGCGTCGTAGATTTTACTAGTAAACAGTTATCCAGGCTCTGGGAAGATATTTTTAGTTTTAAAAAGAAGACCAGAAATAAGCTGGAACCAAAAGCAAATTCTTTCCTTGCCAAACTTACGTTATGTTGACAAATATGTGACATTTTTCTGTCGGTTTGGAGAACGGTAAAGGGATTTCTGAGAGTCAAATTGTCTGTCTAAGCGATTTTTAGATTTTTTTTCTTTTCTGGAGACATTGTTTGTTTACTTTTTCTTCTACTTTTTATCAGGCTATATATTTGCCTTCTTCTTCATCCTCATCATCACGATCTTCTTTCTTTTTTACCAGTTTTTTTTTCATCTTCTATTTCCTTTTCGCCGTTCACCATATTCTTATCATTAAAAATTGATCTCTACTCCTGAATCTTATATTCCCATCACAGAAGCATCTCATAATCATCAGAAACCTTTAAATATTTAGAATTGCAAAGGTTCATTTTAAATTTCTGCTATAAAATTTCAACAAGAAGTCTCCCTACTTTACATACCTTAGATCTTCAACATGTCTAAATACGGCACGGGATGGATCCATGTAACATATGAGTGCTGATATCGCCCTAAAATTTGGCACAAAGAGGATTTTGAAGCAGCTGACAGATCCTATGGAGGGGACGCAATAATAACTACATCGCAAATATCAACGCCATTTTCTTTTTCAGCCGAATCAAAAACGTTTCCCAACACATATGTAAATATGCATGTTTTCTATGTTTATCGAATATATGTACATATCCATTTTCTCTCTACCTGAATATTGATGCTATACAATCTTTTCAAAGTTTAACGCAGACTCAAACTCTTTTAAAATACCGGGTGCTTTTAAAATCATTAACTTCCTGGTAATACTTTAATTGCGGTCTGAGATATAAAAACGCATAACATTAATAAAATTATTAATATCATAAAAAAGTGACATATATTCGGCACAAATTTACTTGCCACCTCTTCTAAGCTTTTTGTAATGACCTTTTGAAAGTCTCTAAACACTACGGCCACTGTGTCGAACTTCATCCAAAATATAAGATTCACTTTGAAAAAAAAATCAAATGTTTTTTTTTATCATTTCATCCCATGCAAGGCAGAAATGCCACTAGTAGGCAGTAGGTTACAGGAAATTAAAGTGAAAGAAAAGAATAAGTATAGGGAGGATATAAAAGAGGACAAAAGATGAATGGGATTCAACAAGACAGAAGATGGCGGTTGACGTTGCATTTAAATTTTTTAAGATTGTAGTTTTCAGGGAAGCAAGTAAACGAAAGGGATTTCCACCGGTGAGAAGTGCGAGAAAAGAAACTGTTGGAGTAGAAGTGGTGGTTACATTTAACTATTTCAATAATAAAAAGGTGGGACTTAGATACTAATCTAGTAGCATGCTTGCATTCCTGTTGTCGGGGCACCAGGGGAAAAAAAAGCTCATCAGAGCAGCTGCCATGTAAATATTAGTAGAAAAGAGAGAAGCCATGTCACGTCAGTGAGAAAGTGACTGAAGTCGAGATGCCAGGTCAGGATCGATTATATTGCAGATCTTTCTTTGAATTTTTTCAAGAATCTTGAGATATACAGCGGGAGTACCAGACCAGATATGGAAGCAGTATTCAATGTAGAATGGTAGATTTGTAAATGTGGAAGATAGACTCTGATGAGAACATTATTTTTTTGGGCACAGTGGCCCAACTTTCGTTGCAGTAGATTCAGCTATTAATTCGATGTAGTCACTACACTTCAAGTCAGTTGAAAACGTGAGGCCGGCAAAGCGTAGTGTGTTGCTCTCCATTCAGACAAAGCTGTTATAAATCTAATATAATATTAAAATGAGAATTGTTGAAATGATGCATAGAATGAAAACAAGTTCCTCTTGGAAGGTTGAAGTGTCAACAAGAAATAAATGAAAAAGACATTGGGGGAGATCTGTCGTTGTAATTTATATGAGAATAATGCAGAATGTTTACTGGGAGCAAACAGCATGCATCATACGAATAGAAAATTAATTCAGAAAGTAAAGAAAAAAAATGAAAAGGCGACAAAAGACGTCTTCTCACCTGACTTCTTTAACCTTTAAAGCGAATCAATCGTAAAGTAACTTGAAGTTTTAGCAGGATTTATTATCGATGATCACAAATATAAGATACTCAGATGGTACTGTGCTTATGGCAGACACTGAAAAAATGCAAGAACTCCTAGAAAAGGTAATAAAGGAAAGCAGGAAGAAAGGACGAGCTATCATTTGTAAGAAGATCAAATGTAAAGTCGTTAGCAAGATGGTTTGGTTTGGTTTGCTTTATTTTACGGCATATCAACCTCAATGGGTTTTTTAATGCCGACAACTCTTTTTCCTGGTAATATTTTGTCAAAAATCTATTTCTGGTAATATTTTTTCTTCAAAACTTTTTTCTGGTAATAATTTTTACAAAGTATTTCTGGTATTAAAACCTTTTTTTTTTACACCGTCATAATACTTTTTACCTCTGTTTCGGGGTTATTTGCTCATAGCCGGGACCCTAACATGTTCTACCACCGCGGGTCAGGGTGGACCTGGGAACAGCAGTAATTAAGAGGTGGCTCCATGCTCCTCAAAGCCTCCTGATCAGAGGCCTTGCTGTTGGATGTAGTTTATCGTCTTACCCTGGACGCGGATGTTGTTTATCGTCATGCCCAGGACGGAGTTAGCAGGATGGATTGCTCAAAGTGTGCGATACGAATTGGATATGTCAAAATCAAGCAAGCGCAGAAATATTTTCACAGACGAGGGAAAATATGACACCGAAATCCGAAGTAGGGTTGGAATAATGGGTACCCCACCACCTAAAGCCAAAGAAAGTGTTAAGACACAGCATAAATTCGTTATAAACAAAGAATGTTGAAATACTATTTAATATGTTTACCTATAAGCAGTCAATGCTGGACAATTTCCTCATAGATGAATAAAAAATTGAGCCAACAGACATGCGGCTCCACAGAAAGATGCTGAGAATACCATGGATGGAACATGTGAGTAGGGATGAAGTTTTAGAGAAAATGGAAACTAAAAAGAAACTTACTTAGAATAAAAAAGAAACAGTTGAAAATTCTAAGACAAATAATGAGGAAAGAGGGCTATGAGAATTTGATACTCATATGACATATTGAAGGCAAGAGAGGCAAAAGAAAATGCCGCTTAACCTATCTAACAAGCTTTAAGTCGATATCAGAATAGGGAGTGGAATAGTAAAAAGACAGTCATTGCTAAGACCTACAAAGGACAGGAAGTTGTGGAGAGCCATGATCACCTACTATGGCACAGTGAACATAACAGAAGGAAAAAATGTGCTTCACTGTTCCATTTATAACTTAATCGAAGAAATTCAGACAACACTAAGATGACAAGAGAGCTGACCGGATGAAATGTTATCATCGAAATAGTTAATATAATGACGAAGTTTTAAATGATAGAAGACATTTTCGCTATCCCTTAAGAGAAATAATAGAAATTATAAGGCAAGTGAATTTGCCGACATAAAAATGTTGTTTTAGCCATCCTTATCTGGCGTCAAATGTGTTACAGGTTCATTTATTAGCTTCTACATTTTCTGAAGTCCCTTTAAATTTCAATCAATTAGTAGACAATGGCTGATGCCAAGACCTTTCTCTACTTTTAGACATCGTAGGATTATTTCAAATGCAGGGACCTTAAGCAAGGAATTCGTTAGATCTTCCTGGGGAAACCTCTGCAAAAATCAACGTGAAGATTTCTATGATGCCAAAAAAAAATAAAACATAAAAAAAATAAAACATAAAAAAAATAAAATAAAATGCTGTCATTAAGATAATCAATAAATATTATCGATCAGTCAATCGATCAGTCTTTCAAGACTTGTTTGTTAATCGAACTGTGTCAAGGAGGCTTACTATGTATGTGATAATTAACAGTAAATTACACCGAGCTTTTAAAAACCTTCTAAGCACTTAAATACAGTTTAGACAAATTAGAACACAGTTACAAAAAAAAAAAAAAAAAAAAAAGAAAAGAAACAAAAAAGTTCCTTCTCCATTTGATTTTTCTGTTTCTTTATCTTTGCAATTTTCATTTGTTTTTCTTTTGTATTTTTATTTATTCCATTTTTTTTTCTTACGCTTTGTTACTCTCTTGTCCTTTTTTTTCTTCTTTATTAATGTCTTTTTCCTTCATTTTCCTTTTCTTCTTCCTTCTCTACATTCTTTATTTCGTTTCTCTCGCTTTCTTTGTTATAATTCATTGCTTTTGTCTCGTGTCATTTCAGTCTTTATGATTATTCTTCATTAAATTCATCTTTTTTTAATAGTATCACTTCTTTTTCTTCTTTTACATATTCATTCTTGCCTCGTTTTCAGTTTCAGTTTCTTTGTCATTCACTCTTGTTGGCCTTTATTTACATCTCTCTTATACTTTTGTCTCTGTATCTCCATCTTTGTTAGGTGGACATTTGATAAAAATCGCCTGAGGAAGCCGTAAGGTTGAAACCAAGGTAGCAGATTCAACTGACCTCCTGATTTTTATAGTTAAAACCTCATACATATTTTCACTTTTGTTGTTTTAACACCTGTACTGAGTACTTTTTAATACGACTGCTTCCTCATCTGATACAACTCTGACCATTAACGAATATGACGCATGCCTAATTTGAAGTAAAGGAAAAACAAAGATGCAGAATAATATATATATATATATATATATATATATATATATATTTTTTATTTTAGGATGTTACATCGAAAACATGTTGAAATCGCTACACAGTTGCATACCACGAATCGTATCAGGCGATTGTAAATTACTGGCGATTGAATGATTAAATTAAATGGATTAAATCATTCACACACCAGTAATTTACAATTTCCCTGATGAGATGCGTGGTATGCGCATCGAAACACGACTGCAATTGTGTAGCGATTTCAACATGTTTTCGATGTAATATCCAAAATAAACAATATATATATATATATATATATATATATATATATATATATATATATATATATATCTTTATGGCAACTGGTCTAGGAGAAGGACAATTCAGAACCTGCGGATGGTCGTTTGGGAACCTTTTTTGGCACTTAGTGCACCAGGTATTCGGCCCTTCAAAAGTGTGGGTGGTCCTGCACGAAACCTTCACTACCATAATCAAATCTCATGTGCTGTTGTCGGCCTGTCGGTTTCCTAGGAACTGATCTGCTTGACCCTCATACGTCGAATTCGACGGGAGAGTCGATATATATATATATATATATATATATATATATATATATATATATATATATATATTTATTTATTCTGCATCTATGTTTTTCCTTTACTTCAAATTCGACGGGCATCATATTCGTTCTACG